TTGCCCATACTTGTGGGAAGTCAACATGCTGACAAGACGGCTCTGGCAAACTACTGCGCACTGGAACTCAACAGCGCGAATCAAAGTTATCTTTGATACTGCCGGCTTAGTAGACAAGCTATTCTGATTTTTCTGACCTCTATGGGGAAAAGGCACAAACCAGTAGATGTAGTAGACCAACATACCGACCATTCGTTAATGGTGATTAATCAAGAAAATGAATGGCAGCTGTTCACCTAAGCTAGTCGAGCATTAATAGTTTCTAGCCATCCAGTAGTACTAGCAGTACCTTACGCTATCGTACGAAATATTTACCAAGCGGATAAAGCGATTAACGCTGTCGTACTCTCTATGCGCATGTTCTCTTCAAGCAATCCACGCGCCAGTCCATTGTTGAAGTCAAGTTGAGGGCACTTGACCGATACAACGCTTTGGGATTGTACTCACTCTTGAAATGCTTGAACTCCGCATTCGCTTTTCTTTCTGTGGCAGCAGGTTGGCACTGCCAACTTCACTCGGATAATTAAGCAAGCAACCTAAGATGAATACGGCGACATCTACAAAGCAAACCACTTCCGCTGACATAATTGGTAAACAGAAGATGACCGGCCATCAGGTCTGTCGCAACTTGGACAGTTATAATAAAAAGGAGCGGTTGCATTGAAAGCGGAAGGAAATTACGCAGAGAGATGACATAGTTAACTGCTAGCTTTAAGCGTTGGCTTTCTCAAAACTGAAAAGTATTTATCACCTACTGTTAATACAACGTGTGCTACTGGTGCTTATAATACGAACAGCTTGTCGTTGGGTAAAGTAATTCGAAACCGACCACTTGGTATGCAAGCTGTACTATGGTCATTCTGCGGTCAATCGGAAGTAGGCGTCAAAAAGTACCGACGGTCGCCAGCCAATGCTGTTAATCCAATGCAAGAACTAATTGTACGGTCTGGGCAAATAGCACTCGTGTTCCGCCGTCTTAGCTGAAGGCTCACTGCTGCCCATGGATTCACTGGCATTGTTCAATAATGTACTGGTCAGCGGCTGCTTGCAATAATGGACAATATGACGCGAATATCTTATCTCCCTTAACTGGAAGTTTCAATAATCAAGCAGAAGATTCATTCTGGCCATCGGTGACCACTGTGCAATGCCCTCTAGATTCAATGTCGTCTGCCCATACCTACGACTTGGCATTCTCTGACTACTTGAATATTTATCAAAACGAAATGCACGACGCGACCATGTCAAACTTCGTGCATACGATTACGTTGGATAATCATGCCGATGCAGTCCAAGGACAACGCATTCCATCGATACTGGTTCCAAGCGGCAAAACTCGACACAAAGAAGCGGTATGCACGATGGAACGGAACAACAGAGCACGTATGCGCAACCTGCTGAAGGAGCGTCGACGAAGCGAAGCTATTAGGAAGGCTTTTAGAGCACTGAAGTTTAGAATACCTTACGTTCCAATGGACAAGTCCGTTACGCAGATAAAGACACTGCGCCTTGCCATACAGTATATTCGCTACTTGGAAGCTCAGCTGGGTTCAAGCCAATGCAATACTGATGGAAATTCAAATTTCGCTGACGTGGTCATTGCTGAAATTAGGAGAAAAAATTCCTACGTTAAGGAATCGCGTAAGTTATGACGTGTTTGAACTGCCCATACAAACCTCCCTTCGGGTAACATGAATCGTCATGTTTAATAAAGCTTTGTAGCGTGAAAATTGCTCACGCTGTTCAAAATATTTTTTCCGTAAGCCTCTACGCAGCGCTGCGAGAACGAGCGACGAAAAATTTTCTTCTTTGCGTTAATATGGCATGCAACCTTAGTCATCTTGTGCCAAGCAACAAAACACAAGCGAATCATTCCTATTAACCGTGGGTGATGATTTACCATGAAAGGACGAAAATTAAATTCCAACTGCTCAGTTCTGGCAATCATCAATAGAAATATTAAGAGAAAGTGCGCATCTTGTCTCTTTGCCGCCCCACTGTCATACTGTAAGTTTGCTGGCCATCCTATTTTACCCTTATCTAAACCTAAGCCTAAACGTGAGGTTTTATATTTTGGCTTGGGCTTAGGTAAGGGCAGAACAAGATGACCGCACGCTTGACAGAAAGGAACCTGCATTTCTCAGACGGTGTGACCGCTAAGAGGCAAGATGCGAAGGTGACACTTATGGTCCCATTCTTAAGGTGTAACCTTTTAAACGCACGTACATGGTAGCACGTCGAAAAACAACGGCCACATTGTGACGTGAACAAAAATGGGTATGAAGGTATAACTGCTTACATTATTTTAGAGCACAAGGAAAGCAATGTTGATTATGGAAAGTATAACGCGGGGAAAAGGATAACAATATTGCCAAGATACAGTTTCTGCGGTCACTTTTGAACAACAACGAAAGATGCATGGTTAAGGGATGACTGCGAATGTAGCCTCAAAGACATTAAATAAAGCAGCCACCGGTTAAAACAGTTAGCCCTAATTTGCCTAAAAAGGAATAAAATGGATGATTATGAGATTTGCATAACGTTCAAAGCTGCAAGTCCAAAGGAAGAAATATGCGCAAACGCTTGTCAGTCGCGTTGTTCTAACAAAAAAAAAGTTTCCCTTCGTTCTCAGCTGCGACTCACTACTCAAAGGCTCGCAGGTTAATTATGAGAAAATTTGTCGATACGGAAGGTGGACAAGTTAGCGAAAGAAAGAAAATTGAAATAACGGATTCCGAGAACGCAAAGTCAGTTTTTCCAGAAACGGCATGTACTAATAGATTTGCTACATTAACACAGCGCGAAAAATTGAAAGTATGGTTTGGGCACTTATTTTGTCTTTTTAATGATTTTATAAACAAGGTTCTGAATAGAACGACGACTTCGCGCATGCTATCGAAGAGCCTGACTTTCAGAAAAGCATACTGTAGCTAATAGGTGCAGCGAATATGCTAAAAGATGGTCAAACAGACAGCGAGATGTATTTACAAATGTTTTAATTGCAATAGGTAAATGTTAACCAAACAAATATGAGCAGATAGTCAAAAGCTGCCGATTATGAAAAGCCCACAACCATTTAACCTCATTCCCAAATATGACAGCTATACAGCTCAGTCTTCGAGAAGCATTTCAACTAAATCCCTTTTTCCACATTGAACGTCGTTCAGTCGTTGTTGCGTGCCCCATTTGATCAAAGTTGGTACGCACGTCAAGCGAAACTTGTCATGCTTTCTGTATTCGTTGTTGGGATCTTTCCACGTTGGACGGTCGCCCACTTCACAACGGATTAGGACACTGTCTTCTGGCAACTTCTTGGCGCATTCGGTAATCACTGGATCAGCCACATTACAGTCTGGGCACCAGCTTTTCCCGTCCTTGCCCTTTGATCCAGTGAAGTAAATGAAGATGTTCTTACCCGCATTACGGTCGATCTCGGAAAGCAGCTCTTGCAAACGCATTGCAAGTATATAAGCTTCTATGCCGCCTAAGATTGTGTATGTCAATGAGTTGCTAACGAAAAGCCCAATACAAAGGCAACGGTATCAATACGCAAACTCTGAAAGCAACAAAAAAAAAAGAAACGCGCCGCGTGCGTTGTCTGTAAATGAGACATGCAAACTAAATGCGTAAATAGTCGCAGACTAAAATTATTAGGATAGCTCAAAAAATTAAAAATCATTTTCGGCGGGAAAACTGACCACATGGAGGCAACGATCAACATACGGTTTTGACGCGACAAAGCCGCAAAAGCAAAATAAATAGAGTATATTCAATTACTGCTACATTGCATCCCTAAATGCGTACAAGCAAGAATACTATATCAAGTTCGACGACCCAAAGACGCACTGCAGATGACGAGAGCAACCTACTTTTTGAATAAAATTAGCAGCTCGAGAGATTTTGAAAATAAGAAAATGAATGCCTATATGGTCTTTAAACATTGAGAACTACTGCGAACTACATACTAATAAAGCAAGGGGATCAAACGCTACTAACTCGGACGTGATACTACAAAAAGATGCTCAGGTAACGATATTGTCAGTTCATGCATCACATTTCAAGTAAGAGAATCCCTCTTCAGCGGACTTGTTAAAGCCAGGCAGCTGTCGCCACACTTAACTTGACTGTCAAAATAACGATATCTATAAGATGCTTCACTACTGTGCGACCGTTCATTCCTGTTGAAGGCAGATTTCATTTACAGTGAAATGCCAACAAAAGGTGGTAGTAGTCGACAACGTTACTCGCTTGCAGCTTTTCGTACTAACAAACGATTTTCAAGGCTTTTAGTACCAACTTGGCAATGCAGCAAAGGTGCCATAGTCGGCGTAAAGGACCATGCCCAGTTCTCCTAAACTTTTTTTGGTAATCATAAACAGGAAAAGACAAAACTAGCGTTGAAATAAACCAAGGTGTAACCCGGAAATTCATCAGCGGCTCCAAAAAAGACTACTGAAATATGTTACAGTAGGAAGCGATGAAATCAAGTAAAATGAAAGTAGTGGTTGTCTAGCGGGCGAATGCAGGGCTTATGATAAGAAGAAACGTTGCAGCGTGAAAGCACTTTTACGACTTGGCAGATAGATTATTGCGCGGATTGTTTTGTTCTCAAATTGTAGCAGATAAGAAAGTGAAAGGATACAGCTTAATCTAAGAAATGGGCATTAGGATACTTTTCGCAGTATGCATTAAAAGAAACGAAGATTATCAAGTCAGCTGTCAAAAGCGGAAGCCTTGGAGGCGGTAGCGCAAAAACATGCGCTGTACCGAGCGCTAAATCTATCGCCATTGCCGCCGTTATCAAAGTCAAAAGCTGCAAGTGTTGCACAAGCCAATCAATGTTGTACCTCTGCCTTTCACTGGTAGTATTGTTGTCTATTATAATTACGTTAGCTCTGGCGGTTGCGTGTTGAATATGAATGGTGGATTTCGCTACTCTTAAACCTAACGGTTAAACGATGCTGACAGCACATAATAGTGCTGTAGGGTCAAAAACCTTCATACTTACCTGGCAGGGAAATACCACTGATCATGAAGAGTGGTTTTCCAGGGTGAGGCTGGCTCATTGCACTCCGAGGCAGCTGACCTCTGGGGCCATCCCGAATTGGGATGAGCTCACTGCACAATTTTTGCGTAAGGGAGTCTGCGTTCGCGCGGCTCCCGATAAACCATACACACTTCTTATTTCCTTATTGAGTCTCAACGTCTTTGTGCTGTTGTGTAAAGCTGAATATTCTTTTTCGGTTGCGTGACGATTAAGGCACGAGGTTGATTCGTCGTCCGATAATACACTGTGAGTAAAGCTTGAACTAATCAACGCAGTTGAGAAATATTACATCGTTCAGGATTTATCACTCTGCTATTTCCCTCAGCGAAAAATTTGAATTATGGGGTTAAATAAGTATTACGCAGAAACTGTTTTGCCAGAGAATTTACTTCTCAGAAAAACACGCTTCGTTGACCATATGTGGTACTAGTCATTTTTCTACAGTATTACGTGTACCTGTGTGCAAAACTGACAGTGCTGCGATTGCTGAAAGTGTGTAAGCATTTTTGCCGAATTTTTCTCAACAGAAAAAGCGTTGATAACTTGCTGCTTTTCTGAAGTTACCTTTGGGTCGCGCGCAATGAACAAACGACTATAGTGAGCACGTATTTTGTTGCTAAATAAATGTTAGCTTCATAAACTGGGTAAAACAAATTTTCCTGGAACGTCGTCCGAAGAATTTACGGTATGAAAGCCGGGTGCTGCTTCCGGTTGAACACTGTACACGTTTTAAAGTGTTGAAGCTCTTAAGTAGGGAGTGCGCGTTACTTGGTTTTTCTTGACCGCTGAAGACGGGACGGGACGTATGTGGTCATGAAAGCTGCGGGCAATAAATTTAAATTTTTACAGCGGGTCATATCGTCCGAAAGACGAAAGGCTGCAAGTCTTTTTACCTACGCGCCCACAAACAATACCCCCTCACCGCATCATTGATATAATCAGGTCAGTCTCGCAGAAAAAGATTGTGTACTGGTGCCTAGGTGAAAAGACCCACAAAAAGTGTTTTGACGAAGAAAGCGCAGCTTCTTTTATTTACGCTGCCGCGGGATACATCTTTAGCGTTCTTGCATATCACATTTCCTTACTGTACAGCGTTGCGTCGATTCTTTCTGCGTCTAATTGAGAAAACCATATGGATAGAAGACTTATTCTCCGCAGGTACGACAATTTGCTCGGAAGCCGCTGAAGTTGCTGATTCTAATGGTGCTAATCTCGAGTCGTAAATATGAATTTTTACTCAATTTATACTTTTAAAAATAAAGTTACGGCAGAGTAATGATACTCTGCAAACATTTAAGAAAATCCTTAATAGCGTGCCTGTTTTATTGCTCAAGCGCCGCGCTGTTTCACGCTCATCTCAAAATTGGTACCTGAACACAAATTACACTTTCAAATCCTACAGTAGCCAGGGTAAAGGCAACGCTAAGGCTAAAATTTAAATTCACCCTGCTACTCGAATAGTACCTGCATAATCTATCGTACGAATGTACAGTATAACCAAAAAACCATCGATCCTAACATGACGCTTACGGAATGCAAAAGCACATTCAAACGGGCGCTATAAACATAGAATGTTTCTTGCATAGTTCTTTCCACTTTTACTGATTGGAAAAACACTTCCTTTTAAAGGTGAACGTAGAAAACAAAAAGCTTTCGAATAGATTATACGTAGAACGTTGACAAGAGGACCAACGCGGTCAGTCCGACAAAAGAGAGCGACAACGTAAATAAACAAGTCTACCTCTGTGTGGAAGGACGCGTAAAATTATTTTATAAAAAAAAATTACGCTTCGACGACGCCGGAACGGAAGCATGAATGTCGCTGGCATTGCGGTGTAAACAATATGAAATATGCATGTGCGGATATAAACATATAAAGGTCTAAGCTTCCTTGTTCGCGGCGAAAGGAGGAAGGTAGAGGGCGAAGCGACGCTTAGCAAAATGATTCAAAAATTTTTCAAAAACACAAAATAAGGAAAAGTTGTCTCAACACCGACGAACGCGTCTTCGTGCGTGGATCATTCGTCTGCCGCTGGCTGCGGTACCGGATTGAGCCTGATTGAGTCCGGCGGCATTGAAAATAGTTGGCGCCGACGGCAACGGTCCACTGCCGGTTGGACCTACGCCAGTGATCTGAGTAGCACTCGACGAGTCCTTCGCTTCGCCAGTTTGCCCAGCTAAACATCAATGTAAAAAACACATAATGCAAAAACAAACTAAGGCAAAGTACCCGTGAAATGATCACCGGATTTTGCGGGATTGCTTCCAAATACAAATAGGGACGACGAGCCAAAGCTCGGAGCTGAGCTGCTGCTCGCCATTTGGGACACCCAAGGAAAGGCTAAAGCAAAAAAGAAAGTAAAATTTCCGTTCGAACAAATTTTTCCATCTTTGCAATGCTTACTGCTTGTCGTTGTTGACGGCGGGACAGCAGAAGCAAAAATCGACGACTGCTGTTGACTTGAATCAACGTTTGCCGGTTTGGCGCCACCAAAACAGAACACGGACGGCGCGTTGGACGTAGGCTGCTGCTGCTGCTGCTGCTGTTGGAAACTTGGGGGTGCCGCAGTTTGACCAAATTTAAATATCGAAGGAGCTGTCGACGTCGCTAATGACTTGCCGCCCCACGAAGCGAACAAGGACGAAGACGACCCCGTTGAAGATGAAGCTGCAAATGGCGCAGCATCTCCAAAGTTGAAACCGCTAGCGGCAGTTGTCGCCGGCTGGTCTCCTTGCTTTGTCGCCAGTAAGCTGGTCGACTGAAAAGGCGTGGTTCCAAATGCTGGTTTCTGCCCAAAATTAAATACGTTCTGCTTTAACGCATTCTGGGCAAAGAGGCTTTCGTTCTGCGCCTGACTTGTCAAACTGCTGCCGAATATAGACGTCGTGCTTGTTGGAGTACCGAATGGAGATGCGCTGGTAGCTGGACTACCGAATACGGATGCAACTGGTGTTGCAGCATTGAACAAGGATGTCGCAGACGTAGTGGGTGTTGCAGAACCAAACACGGGTGCAGTAGGCACTGCAGCAGCGAATATGGATGCAGTGGTCGTTGGAGTACCGAATATGGACGTAGTAGATGTTGTAGTGCCGAGAACAGATGCAACGGATGTTGCAGTATTCGACGAAAATGACTGTGCAGACGACTGGCTGAAACAGAAACCTTTTCCACTGACGGTACCTTGTCCGAACAGCTTCGAAGTCTTGTCTTCGGAAGTGTTCATTGGCTGTTGGCCAAAATTGGAAAACAACGTTTTAGTAGCTCCGCTAGCTTCACTTGTTTGACTACCAAAAGAAGACGACGTCGTTGATAAGCCAAAGTTGAAAGGAGATGCAGATGACGTAGTCTTGGTCAAACTTGAGGAACCAAACAAAGAGGGAGCAGCGGATGTCTGTCCAAAACCGAACGGTGACGATGTTGGGAGTGGTTGCCCAAAGTTGAAAACTCGAGATCCGCTTTGCTGAACAAACTGGAACGGCTCAGACGCCTTCTGTGGCTCCTCTACCGTAGGCATTTTGGTCAACTCTGTTCCGCCAGTTGACGACGGCTCCGAGGGTGATTCAACCATTGCCTCGATCGGACTTAAATCAGTTCTTGGGGCTTCATTCACTTTTTCAACTTCGGCTTGCTCCTCAATTGAAAGCGCGCTGTTACCAGAGGCGTCAATACTCAATTCTGAAACAAAGAACAAGGTACAACAACGCATGAAGCCAATTATTTTAAAATACCTCGCGCTGTGTCATCGGTGGGTTGACTGGTCACCTCCACACTGACCCCAGACGTGGGACCTTCAGAAGTGGGGACCTTCTTCAAAAAGATTTGGTTAAAATTCAACTTGATATTCAAAGAAGGTACTACCTCAGGTTCACTGGTACTGTTTGGAGCCGACAGGTCCGGCTGTTCAAATCCCTTCGACACGCCTACGTCATACGCGCTTGCGGTAGAGGGCGTAGCTGAGGCAATGCCCTCATCTTTGCTGCCTTCTGGGGAAGAGGGCAAATTTTGCGACTCCTTAGTAGGTGCCGCAAGCACGCTACTGGCAGACTGCTGAGGAGGGAAAAGCCAAGTGGATGGCCCAGCTACCAGCGCTTGAAGCGAGGGCTGAACGAGGACTGCAAAAAGCAAAAGACCGTTCGCTTAGTTCAAATGTTACGAATAAGACAGGCGTACAACTGGTATAAAGAGCAGAAACATTTTGACCGCGCAAAAGTTGCTGGAACTTACTATATGGACGTTGAAACGATTTTAAAAAAAATGGAGGGGCGCAAAGTTAGCTAACGCCTAAGCTAGACAAGTGAAGGTCATAGCTAAAGTGACCTTCTTGTTCAGTAGACTGCCATTTTAGGTATTTCAAGCTAACAAGAACAAAATGAGTGGCGTACCGGCATTTGCATCCGACCGCTTTTCCGCAACTGCGGCTCCATTTGAAGAGCAGACTTCGGAGCGTTTGAGTTCCTCATCTAAGTACGAACAATTGAAAAAAAAAGTTTATCAACATATCCACAAGCGCACCTTCAGGCTGAGTAACAATAGGAGAACTAGAATCACCGGCCTTTGAGCAAACCTAAATAAGAACAAAGAGGGACATTAAAAACAGTCGCCAAAGTTTGGCTGCGCGCATCTACACCATTCGATAAGAGCTCAAATAAAGCTTTATGCTGGTTTTCATAACACCCAACATTACGCTAACAGTCAGCGCAGTTTTTGAAACACTTTTTCGAAAAATGCGATGTTACTGCCTATTTGCAAGACGCTTTTTCCACAATTATATAAAAACAATAGCAGCTGTAATGACAGCCAAAGAAAAGTGCATATTCAGCACTTGTTGCGAATGCCGAAAAGCTCAGAATTGCCTAAAAGAATAAGCCTACTTCTCGCTGCTAAAAAAATTAAACATCATCCTGCATATCTTTTATCGCCTACCGTAGTTCTGATTTTAAATTTTCAAAATTACAGTACCGCGCCAACAAGCAACTTGGAATAATCAATTATGCAAAGTAGGCGCTCGCCAAACAGCCAATCCCCTTTCGTCGGGACAACGCTGACGCTTCTAATCGCTCAGTAGACAACGCATTAGGGGGACAGCATCGCAGTAAAAGAAAATTAGGTATTGATA